CTGGTAGACCAGTACCTCTGCTAAATCCTAAAGAATTGTCACATGACCATCAAACCACGCCCACAAAATAAGCCACGCCCACAGAACCGGTAGTAAAAAAATTTAGAACCCACCCCTGAAGTTGAAGTCTACAAGTCTCAAAGTCACTAAGTTTGGAGACCCGTTACAGATAATTGAACACCTATTTTTCCCTTTCATTTCCAGAACAGGCATAGCTGCTCCCTCTGTCTGCATATTTTATCTAGAAAATTCACAGGTCAAAACCCAAGAAAGTCCAACTGCCTCTTGAAAAAGCACCTTTGGGACAGTCACTCGGGTATTTTATTTTTTGCAATCCAGATATGGCATCTCTTGAAACTGCTTCATAAAACAGCATCTCAAGCACATCAAAATAAGCATCTCAATCCATACCCCTGTTTCCAAGACCAGTGCAAAGCATCTGTTTGGATCCATATCCCTTCAGCAGTTCTAACAGTTGCAGGATATATCTCTTTTAATGTACTTTTCAAAAGCAGAAGTCTTTGAGCTGCTAGAACAGGCTAGATGGTGATGCAAAAAAATTTGTGACAAATTGTGTTACATTTTCACAGGAAGAATCATGTTGCAAAGCACCTTGTTCAAAAATATTGAAACCATCTTTCCTAGACCTAATAAGGATCAGAATTATGGACAGTTGTTGTTTACGCTGGCTGGGGAATTCTGGGAATTGAAGTCCATGCGTCTTAATGATGGCTTTGTAATCAAAGATTCCCTAAACCTTTGTGGTGACAACACAGGGGAAAACTACAAGATCCGAGTTGAAAATTCCACTATATTTTGGATTATTGATTTTCATAAGCATTGTCTTTTGGTTGATGTTTGAACTACCTCTTAAACAGTGAAAGTATATTCTTCCTAATTTTTGTTAAATTTGTTGAATTACTTCTCCTTCTGATACTTTGATACTATGGTTTGTGTGGTCTACGGCAAGGATTTTGTATGTTCTGTTTTGCAAATGGCCATTGTCAATTACGTACTTCTTAATGTTTGCATCTTCTGCATTTCATTTCTCTGTTATTTTTCAATATAGAACTTAGAGCCTAAGCAATTGTCAGTATTTAGCTATCCTTGATTGATCTCGGAATAGAATTGGGCCTAGTCTTTAGCTTGACCTCTTGGGTATTGTTCTCTCCACAAAGATTTTGCTGCTCTGGCAGGATAAGCTTAATTTCTTTCTGTTTAGCTAGGTTATAGGTAAGTTTGGCAACCCTGACCTTACTGGCCAAAGTAGATACATGTTCCTTTCATAAGGAAGTGTTTAGGTATTCTTACTTACTTCCCTTTTCCTGTTCATCATTTTCTGTTACAAGCATTGATGAGAAAGAGAAGGGAAGTGAGACCATTCCAGCCTCCATCTTCCATTCAGAAAAGCCATTCACAGTTTTTCAGCTGCCATCTCAACCCATCTGGGGGTATTGCAGGTGAGTAAATATCCTTATACACTTTTATTAAGTTTTAGGCAGAGGTGGGTTTCAGTAGGTTCTGACCAGTTCTGGAGAACCGGTAGCGGAAATTTTGAGTAGTTCGGAGAACCAGTATGTCAGGGTGCTAATTAATCCCATTCTGTTTTTGGGCAATCGCACCTTGATTTAGAGAGGCGGATCGTGACTTTCCCTTGAAGTATACTTTAAGAAAATAAACCTGAAGATATGTTTTCTAAGAAAAACTCATTTATTTGTTATAAAGAAAATAAAACATCTCACTAATCTAATTAGTTACATTTTGGCAACGTTCCTGCCGGCCACCTCTCTTGGCCGGACCTCTCCTGGCAGGAGAACAAAGAAAGTTAAAAGAAAGTGAAGGAATGTAGACATGCGCAGTTAGCTTACTGATAAGAAACTTGGCAAGCTACGGTAAGTCTGAAAATCCAAAAATAAAAGCTCAGCTGGTAAATACAAAAATGCAGTGACACAGTAAATACCACCTCTGACTGGCCCCGCCCCCATTTATTCTCTGCCTCCCGAGTCCCAGATGATTGGGAGGGAATGGGGATTGTGCAGTATCCTTCCCCTGGAGTAGGGTGGGAATGGAGATTTTACAGTATCCTTCCCCTGCTACGCCCACCAAGCCATGCCACGCCCACCAAGTCACACCCACAGAAACGGTAGTAAAAAAATTTTGAATCCCACCACTGGTTTTAGGCCCTGAGTAGTGTAGGGGCAGTTATATTTTTTTAGCCTAGAAAGAAAGTAGACTATTGTGGGAAGCCCACCCACCCTGCCTCAGCAGACTCAGCCTTTCTTAATAGCCCCCCCCTTTTTAAAAATTTGATTTATATGCCGCCCTTCTCCGGAGACTCAGGGCGGCTTACAGTGCGCTAAGCAATAGCCTTCATTCTTTTGTATATTTATACAAAGTCAGCTTATTGCCCCCACAACTGGGTCCTCAATTTACCTACCTTAGAAAGGATGGAAGGCTGAGTCAACCTTGAGCCTTGGCAAGATTCGAACCTGCAGTAATTGCAGGCAGCTGTTCTTAATAACAGGGTGCTTTAGACCACTGTACTACCAAGGCCCTTCCCCCCACCCAGCAGATATTTGGTGCCCATTAAGAAAGACTGGGCCATCCTATCTACAAAACAAAAGACCTTCAGCTCTAGGATGATGGGATTAAGAAGAACAGGACATGACCCTTCAGGACATAATAGGATTGACCCACTACCATTTAGCAGAAGACACAGAGCTCACTACATTCCACAAGCTCCTAAGGGCATTTCAGACATTGCACAAGCCCCCCTAGCAGCATCTCTGAAATTTATAAAAATCCATGTACTTATCAAACCAATTGTTCAGTTGACCCACACTTACAAACCCTGGTGGTTCTGTTCATTAATAAACCATCTTTCCAATCAGTTCAGCCTCCATGTTGTTTCCAGCGTCTTTCTCCTAGCTTGGAACTGAACCAGATGGATTTGCCTTCCTACATTGTTATAGCTTGGAGCACATGGTCAGCTTTTTGGAACATGCTGCTGTTGTGGTTCGCCAGGAGCCTGCGGAGCTGGCAGCAGAGTCGGACAGTGATGAGGCTGAGGAAGAACATGGGCCAGTCCTGGAGGCTGGGGAAGGCCTTGATGAGGGTCTGCGTCAGAGGCAGAGATGGGGCCAGGGCCATCGGGGAGTGAGGTGCGGACTCCGGAGCCGCCAGAGGCTGACAGTAGAGAGGCAAAGGAACAGGAGGAGCCTGTTCCTAGTGCATGTATGAGAAGAGCTGCCAGAAGGGAAGAGCAGCTAAAGCAAAGAGGACAACTCGGGAGTAGGGCCAAGAGATGATTGGCCCCACCCATAAGGCTTAAAAGACCAGTAATGGCTCTTGGGCTCTTTGTCAGAAAACAACGTTGATAGTCTTGCTGTACTTATCTCTTGTTGGCGTCTTCTGCTTCTGAACTTTGCCAAGAGAAGCCTTTGGCAGTTTGCCTAATTATACCAAGGTTGGTGATTAGACTGAAGAATTTGTGTTATGAAGAGTTTGTTTTAATTTAGTTTGAACTATGCTGAGAATGAGTTAATTCTCAGCTGTTTTAATAAAGTCTGTTTGTTTTGGAACTGTTTGCATCGATTACTACCTACTCGGGCCTGGGTCACAACAGCTGCTAGTTGTTACTCATGTTGTAATCATATACTATTGTTTGTTTGTTTGTTTTTTACATTGCACCGGATCTTGCAGCACTGAATAAAGTTTAGATGGTGAAATACGGTCTCCTTTATTGAATGGCAAAAATGGTTAACTGCCCGGATGGCTTTCCGTAAGAGCCACAACAATGGTGGTATTCAGCCAGTTCTATCCGGTTCGAGCGAACTGGTAGCGGAGGCAGTGGGAGGCTCCGCCCACCCAACCGGATGTCATTACATCATATTCTTGATGCTTTGTGCATACGCAGAAGGTCTGCGTGTACACGCTCACATTTGTGAACTGGTAGTGAATGTAAGTGAATACCACCCCTGAGCCACAAGTTTATGGATTAGCGAGTTCAGGATAAGTATTCAAAAGTCCTTATATATACCTTATTCAGTGTCACGATCCATGTCTCTTAAAATGAATGCACTCTTATTTAATCATTTAAGGGGCAGAAAGCCATTGTGTTTGCAATGTTTCTGGAACTATTGTTATTATAAAACAGGGCTGTCAAATTCCAGGCCCATGGGCTGAATGCGTTACACACTGACCACATCTACGGCAGTGGTGAAATCCTAATTTTTTACTACCGGTTCTGTGGGCGTGGCTTGGTGGACATGGCAGGGGAAGGATACTGCAAAATCTCCATTCCCACCCCACTCCGGGGAAGGCTACTGCAAAATACCCATTCCCACCCCACTCTGAGGCCAGCCAGAGGTGGTATTTGCTGGTTCTCCAAACTGCTCAAAATTTCTGCTACCGATTCTCCAGAACCTGCTGGATTTCACCCCGGTCCACGGCCAGTTTAGCGAAGGGGTAAAAAGTTGCGATACATCACATGACAACGCCGTGACGCCGTGAGTTTGACACCCGTTATAAACCAATTAAAGAAATATGTTTATGAAAATAATTTCCAGCAAACTAATTTCATTGCTAAACCTATAATCCCCAACACACTTACCTGGGAGTAAATCCCATTGTACTCGTCAAGTCTTACAGCTAAATACACACATACAGGATTATCCTGTAAATAAGAAATAGCAAGAAGCTACTGCAATATCTTCGTGTTTCATATGCAATGGCGGGGAAAAAAAAGACAAAGACAATTATTGTTTTTTTTTCCATTAACTTGCTTCACTAAAAATATTTATCAGGATGAGTTTTGAAACAAAAGAACCAACAAACCAAAACCCCAGGGGAAAAATACACATTTGAATTGCCAAAAACCTCTATAAAAATGTCGGATACTCTTGAGAAAATATTGCTAGTAGGCAGTAAGGATAAGAGAAAGGACACTGTTGCTTCCCGCCCCCAGCCACATTTCCCAGAATTAGCAGTGCACAAAAATGTTAAAATTCGTAGCCATTTATAGAGAAAAGGACACACACAGGCAGAGATGCTAATGGCTTTTGCCTCGGTTTATAACCTAATTTCCATCCTTCATTGCTTGCCTTTCATAGCACTTAGTACCCTGAAGACTGTCCAAGTCTTAAGAATTTGCATTCATCAGCAGACTCTGTGCAAATCTTGCTTTTAAATGCTATAAAATCCTAGCCTTTTCTTTAATTTCATTATTCGGTCTTTCCTTTAACAATGCAGCTAGCTGGCTGCAGGGCATCATCTGCGCAAATACATTTTTGGCAGCCCCGTAAAGTTCCTCTCACGTAGGGCTTTGTCCACGATCACAATAAACTGATCTATCCCTTCTTTCATTTCCTTTGTGAAGGGTTCAAACCCTTTCTGCTTGGCTCCCGACCGCTTGAAATTCCCGTCTCGATTGTTTTCAACGCAGAGGAGCCGGTCGTAAGTCACTGTGATGTTCAGAAATTCAACCATCTCCCTCAGCTTGGGAAGAAGGGCTTCTTCTAAATCTTCGTAATGAACCACGAGGAGATGCTTGCCATATTTAAGCCAATCGAGCACATGAGAGGCCCACCAAGAAGCATAGCTGTTTACAAAATCAGGCCATTCTGCGGGGCAAGAAAGACAATAAAGATGTTTTATACGGCTTTTCGAAGCACTGTGCAGAAAAAAAATCTGTTGCACCTTCTTAAATCTTAGTCAACTAATGGTCAGCACTAAATTGGCACTAGATAAGAGTCAACAGAATTCAAAGGGGGGCTGGACTTGGACCATTTCTGGGAACGTAACGATTCTAGGCTGATTCCTCACTTGATTCTGCCCCAAGCTTTGCCTGCTCATCTCCTACAGTAGGTAGCCATAGAAGAGTCAGAGAAGAATAGAAATAACATTTGAAATAAAGCTGTTCGGCTGGCTAACATAAGAGAGAGGGCCTTTTCTGCAGTGGCCTCACATGTCTGGAAGGGTTTGCTTAAAGCAGGGGTATCAAACTCAAGGATCCAGCCCATGGGGTGCTTAGATCTGGCCCACGGGGCCACCCTGGAAACAGCAAAGGACTGGCTTGAGGTGCCTCTGCCAGTGAAAACGGAGCCACAGCCCTCCTGAGCTCCGTTTTCCCTAGCAGAGGGTTGCAGGAGGCCGTCCTAGCCGAAAACGGAGCTCGGGAGCCTGTTTTCGTTGGCAAAGCACTTGGGCCACCACAGGCGCCCCCGACATGAGTGATGTCAAGATGGCCACACCTACCATGACCACATACACCCCCGCTCCCCCGAGGTCAAACACAACCCTGATGCGGCTCTCAATGAAATAGAGTTTGACACCCCTGGCTTAAATGGTTACTACTTATGGGAAGGATTCAATAAGTTCCAATCTATGTTAAAAGTGATAAAGGTAAAGGTAAAGGTTCCCCTCGCACATATGTGCTAGTCGTTCCCGACTCTAGGGGGTGGTGCTCTTCTCCGTTTCAAAGCCGAAGAGCCAGTGCTGTCTGAAGACGTCTCCGTGGTCATGTGGCCGGCATGACTAAATGCCAAAGGCACACGGAACGCTGTTACCTTCCCACCAAAGGTGGTCCCTATTTTTCTATTTGCATTTTTTACGTGCTTTCGAACTGCTAGGTTGGCAGAAGCTGGGACAAGTAACGGGAGCTCACCCCGTTACACGGCACTAGGGATTCAAACTACTAAAAGTGATAGCAGCTCCCAATTTATCTATGGGCAAGAAAACAACTACTACTCACTCACTTTGAGATCCTTTACATTTTTGTCCCAGAATGAATTACCGGTAATCATCTGAGGAAGTTGCTGAGAGATGCTATGGGTGGATTTGGCTGTGATTCTAACTGACCCTTCTCAGTTGCCATACCAAACTGACCCCAATCCTTCCATGGAAGGAAGAAATATTCCCAGGGCCAAAATGATCACAAGAGAGCTACCTATCCTAGTTACCTTTACTTTTCCAGTTCTGGTCTGTGGCATAACCAAGATGGCCAGCACATTTCCGGTTGAATTCCGCCACCAACGATTTGTACGGGTTGCGTATCAATAAGATGGCCGCATCAAACATTTCAATTTCCTTTCTGCCACTCTCATGTGTTTTGACACAAATAGTTCTTCTGCTTCTCCAGTGGTCCTTTTCTCCTTTGAAACCTGGCCAGGATGTAAAGACTGGCGTTACTATTTTCAGAGTCTTAAAAAGTCTCGGATATATGTTACATGAGAAAATACCTTCTTCTCTATAATTCCTCCCCATTTATTAAAATCATCTGAAGAAGTTCCCCTACAAATGCAGGGGTGAGATTCAGCTGGTTTGGAGCAGTTCGGGCGAACCGGACGTTAATTTTAATCTGGTTCACTAAACCGGTAGTTGCAAGGACTGGCTGACCCTGCCCACCCCGTGCCTCCCAGGAGTCTCCACCCAGCCCATTTTGGATGCCAGGTAAGTGCAGCACCTGCGCAGAGGCTCTGGGAGGGCAAAAAATGGACCTCTCGGAAGTTCCAGAAGCCTGGAAACAGGATCATTTCTGGCCTCTGGAGCCTGGGGAAGGCCGTTTTCGCCCTCCCAGAGGCTCAAGGAAAGCCTCCGGAGCCTGGGGAGGGCGAAAAACAGGCCGACCGTAAGTACCGGAAGCCCAGAAATAGGCTCGTTTCCGGCCTTCTGGAGGGCCTCCGGAGCCCATGCGAGGCCGTTTTCACCCTCCCGGAGGCTTGAGAAAAGCCTCTGGAACCTGGGGAGGGCAAAAATGCCCCCCACTGCCCTGGTGTAGGAGTCCGAGTAGGCCACACCCACCATGGCCACGCCCACCCAGCAACCAGGCAGAGAACCGGTTGCTAAAAGTTTTGAACCCCACCCCTGTACAAATGATGTAATTGTTATCGGGTGGTGACCCAGGTCAAATCTTTTCTGTAGTTATCCGTGTTTCCATTCACAGAGCAAAGTGAAGCCTTTGTTGACATTTAAAAATAGCCATTAAGAGCTTGGTTATTAAAAATGGTGTGTGTTTAATTGTTTATGACTTAAATTAATTTTCATTCTGAAATTATTTTTTATTTAATTTATTTGCTGCCCATCCTGTAGGTGGGCTACAGTATAAAAATATTTAAATCACCAGAGATAAATATTCGTGATACAATAAAATGAAAACATCATCAAAGTCAAATCATAGTTACAAAACAGGAATGTCAACATTCCGAGTAATGCACCCATTGAAAGATTAACTCCAAGGTAGGTAAATTCCTCAAAGAACATATTTATTAGATACATCATATCAGCACAGCCAGTGAAAACCAACTCTAAAAGTTCCCATGATTTTCACCTAATTAAAAGAGTAAAACTTCCCCATTTCCCAGTGTCATCAGTCACATTAATATAGCTGGCTGGTTCCTCTCCTCCTTCACCAGCCACCTGTTACAATGACCTTGGTTCCCACAGGAAAACTTTTTATTTTGACAATATGCTGCGCTATCTATTTTCCGCTCTCCCTTCCCCCTCTCAGGCTTCATGGCAACTGTGAGGCAGCACAAAATGGCTTCATCCAAGTTCACTTCAGAGGTGACGGGAAGGAGAGAGCCAGTTTGTGGGGGACGGAGGTGAGATTGGTTGTTAATTAATCAACCTCCTCCAGTGTGATACTCCCCACTGGTCTTAAGATCCTTACAGAAGGTCAGTAGAGCCAATCTCACCTCAGGGGGTAAAATATTCCAAAGGACAGGAGCTATGGCAGAGATCCAGGGGTGAGATTCAGCCACTTCAGACCAGTTCAGGCAAACCGGATGCTAATTTTACATCTGGTTCACCGAACTGGTAGTTGCAAGAACTGTCTGGCCCCATCCTACCCACCCTGCCCCTCTCCTCCCAGGAGTCTCCACATGGCCTGTTTTGGATACCAGGTAAGTACAGCGCCTGCATGGAGGCTCTGGGAGGGCGAAAAACGAGCCTCCCGGAAGTTCGGAAACAGGCCCATTTCCTGCCTCTGGAGCCTGGGGGAGGCCGTTTTCGTCCTCCCAGAGGCTCGAGGAAAACCTCCAGAGCTTAGGGAGGGCGAAAACATCCCCCCACCATGGTGCATGAGGTCGAGTAGGCCACCATGGGCACGCCCATCCAGCAACTGGGCAGAGAACCGGTTGCTAAAATTTTTGAATCCCACCCCTGCAGAAAAGGCTCTTTTCCTGGATCCCACCAGCCAAAATTCTTTGGCTGATGGGATTTGCAGTATGCCTCCTCTGCCAGCATGGGTAGGGCAAGCCAGTCCCATCAGGGTGAGACAGTTCCTCAAGTAACCTGGAGCCATGCCATGCAGGGCTTTAAAGGGTAATAACCAACACCTTGAATTGCACCTGGAATTGATATTTAAATATCTTTAGAAATTCTAATTATATGCTTGCATAGTATAATTGGTGAGCATTATTTAGCAATATAAGCATGTGATGGTGAATGAGGAATTAAATAAATGTAGGCTCCAAAATTGGAACTAAAGAGAGGGGTGATCACATTTAGAATACACAATCTTGGGTTTGGTCAAAAGAGGGTTTGAAAGAGGTTTTTCAGAATGAGCAGAGCGCAAGGATACATCTCTTCAAACTGGAAACCTCACTACTTTAATTAGTCAACTCATAAAAGCAATCGTATCTTTGTTCTGTTCTGTTCTGTTGTCCTGTCCTGTCCTGTTCTATTTTTATTTTATTATTATTATTTTTAATTATTTGCCATCCATCTCACCACAGGCCAGATAAAAGCAACCATGTCTTTAATATGATTCATTAATACAGCCATTCTTACTCCAGGCTCAGATAAAAGATGTAGTCATTTTAATGTCAAAATCGTAATAGCTATGTCTTTTATGAGCTAGCTGTAGCAATATTTAGCATTTGACATTTTCCAGGGTTATGTAGAAGTCTAAAAAGAAGGGACTGTTTCAAATAGAAACTTTTGGATCCATTCAGAAGTATTTCTTTCAAATAATTTTCAAAGCATATGCATCCATAATAGATAGATAACAGGAATTTAGAACACCTTAGCTAATGTAATTGGGCACATACAGTAGTTATCGTAACTATTTTCCTTGGAATTCTGGTAGCTGTAGTCTCAAAAGACCTAGAAGATAGTAGCAATTGTCTAGCTTGCAAACCAAAAGTAAACCAAGGGTTATAGAGACCATGCTGCAAATGTAGAGAAGTTAATGTAGAGTGGTTTTACCTCTTAACAGGCATTTGGAGATGGGTAACCATTGTGGCACCCATTTTGGAAAACCACATACCACATGTCTCAAAGTGCTTTTTCAGGAGGCAATTGGACTTTCTTGTTTTCTCTTTGAACACATTTCACTTCTCCTGCAAGAAGCTTTTACAGCTCTGACAGGAAAGTGGGGAATGGAAGGATTTATATATGAAGAAGGAACTTCTTGGATGAGAAGCGAAACGTCTTCGAAAGAAAAAACAAGAAAGTCCAGTTTGCCTCCTGAAAAAGCACCTATGGGACAACCATGACCTGGATAACTGAGAATCTTTACAGACTTTTAGCTATACAATTTGGGATGCACACCCTTTGATTTCTAGATAAAAAATGCAGATTACAGGCACCAGGAGCACTACTCATGTGACCCTGAGGATACAGATAAACCTCCAAGTGCTTCAACGACCCTCTAAAACAGTGTTTCTCAACTTTGGAAGTTTGAAGATGGGTGGACTTCAATTCCCAGAATCCCCCAACTGGCAGCTGCCTAATGCTTTAGGTCAGCAGCGCTGGCTGGGGGATTCTGGGAATTGAAGTCCACCCATCTTCAAGCTTCCAAGGTTGAGAAACACTGCTCTAAAAGGATGCAAATGACCAGCTGTCTGCAAGGAATATAAATCCTTCCATCCCCCCACTGTCCTGTCAGAGCTGAAGAAGCTTCTTGGATGAGAAGCGAAACGTCTTCAAAAAAAAAAAAAAACAAGGAAGTTCAGTTGCGTCCTGAAAAAGCACTTTTGGGACAATCATGACCTGGATGACTGAGAATCTCTACAGACTTTCACCCACCACATGGCGCCATAGTTTAGGTTGTCCATTGACTTCCAAAAGATTGCCTGCTTCTAATCCACAGGTTGATCCAATTCAGTCTCGCGAAGAGTCAACACATACCTTTATTATACAGAGTTCCATCAAAGTAATAGCTCCCTGTGTAGATCCCTGTGGCATGCTCTATCAAATGGCGAACCCACGTATTTCCCGCTCCTGGGAAGCTTGACAAAGCAACAAGGGCTTTTGATTTGGTGGGGAGAAAATTCCGGTCAATACAACGGGTATCTGCAAGCAAACATAGATGACATATTTGACCACAGTCAAATCAAAACTGTTCCTCCCATTACTTATTAAGTTGCTTTTTTGCTAATACTGTCCAGTGGTGGGATTCAGCCAGTTCTGTTTGGCTCGCATGAACTGGTAGCAGTGACTGTCGGAGGCTCTGCCCACGCTGCCCGGACATAATGTGTAACTACTGCACATGCGCAGAAGGCTGTGTGCATGCACAGAGGTGGCATGAGTGAGCGAAGAGAGCGTGCATGGCATGCATGCTCGCATTTGTGAACTGGTAGAGAACGTAAGTGAATCCCACTTCCGATAATGTCATATGGGGGCGACATGGTGCTCCCATGTAACACCTCTCCTGCGCGAGCTGCATTGGCTTCCGGTGGTCTTCCGGGTGCGCTTCAAGGTACTGGTTCTCATCTTCAAAGCGCTCCATGGCTTAGGGCCCGGTTATTTACGAGACCACCTTCTGCCACTGATAACCTCCCACCGGCCAATACGCTCCCACAGAGAGGGTCTCCTCAGGGTGCCGTCGGTCAGGCAATGTCGACTGGCGACCCCACAGGGAAGAGCCTTCTCTGTGGGGGCACCAGCCCTCTGGAATGAGCTACCCCCAGGGATACGACTGATCCCGGACCCCCGAACCTTTCACCGGGCTCTGAAAACGTTTCTATTTCGGCAAGCTGGGCTGGCTTAAAATGTTTTATTGGTGAATTTTATGGGTAAGGGGTTTTAAATTGGGGAAAGCCATTAGGGATTTAATTTTGTTTTAAATGTATTTTAATGTTTATATTGTATGTTTTTTAATCTTGGCTGTTCACCGCCCCGAGTCCTTCGGGAGAGGGGGCAGTATAAAAATTAAATAAATAAATAAATAAATAAATAGATAGATAGATAGATAGATAGATAGATAGATAGATAGATAGATAGAATAACAGAATGACAGAATTGCAAGAGATTTTTGAGGTCATCCAGTCCAACCCTCTACACAAGCAGGAAACTATATCATTTCAGACAAATGGTTATCCAATCTCTTTTTTAAAAAACCTCCAGTACTGGCGCACCCACAACTTCTGAAAGCAAACCCTTCCACTTGTTTATTGTTCTCACTGTCCGGCATTATAAAATGGCATTAACACTTCACATGATCTTGATTCTATCTCTCTATTATTGCAACCTAGGACTGTGTTGGCTTTTTTGGCAGCTACGGCACACTTCTGGCTCATATTTAAGTGGTTGCCCACTAGGACTCCAAGGTCCCTCTCTTGCAGTTACTACTGTTGAGCCAGGTGCCACCTATTCTATGCTTGTGCATTTGGGTTTGTGGAGCCCAATTGCTGTCTTGAGATGCTGGATGAACCAAGCCAATATGTTAAGCTGTGATTTGGTTTTTTGGGTGTAGCATGCTATGTAAAGAGAGCATTTACGTGGTATGAAGCCAGGTTAAATTATTATGTGTGAGCCCAGTAGGACTCTATAGGAAGTATTGCTTATTTTTAAAATGTTGACATTTATTTATATCTATTTACTATTTAAATTTAAAGCTGCCCAGAGTCCCTCGGGAGTTGGGCGGCATAAAAATGCAACTAATAAATAAATAATAAATAAATAAATATAGTAAATTTCTAGCCTATCTTTCTTCAAGGGAATTGGCTTTCTTTCTTTCTTTCTTTCTTTCTTTCTTTCTTTCTTTCTTTCTTTCTTTCTTTCTCTTTCTTTCTTTTTCTTTCTTCTTCCTTCCTTCCTTCCTTCCTTCCTTCCTTCCTTTCTTCTTTCCTTTTTTCTTTCTTTTCTTTCTCTTTCTCTCTCTCTCTCTCTCTTCCTTCCTTTTGCTATGATTTTTATTCAACTTGAGCCACCCAGAGTCACATGACAGCAAGATGGCTGGCATATAATATCTCATAAATAAATATATCATTTTGTTTCAGGGTCTATTGGTCAAAGGGGCGGATGGCTGAGATAACAGTGGGGAAACTGGAATTTGAAAATCTTCCTTTTTTTTTTTTTTTTAGCAAAAGCAGTTGGAGATCTTTTTAGAGATGAACTTGGACACACAGGGACACAGACCTACAGACTGTGGTTTATCTTTCACTGCAAATGGCTTCCAGGCAGCATTAAAGAAGATGAACATTGATAAGACACAGTTTCAAGGGGAAATGCTCAGAAGTTGTGAAACCATGAAATGAATGCAGCTCAACCACGGGGGGGGGGGGATAGTTTAAAAACCCTGTAAACCTTCTGAAAACAGCATTAAAAGCACAGGAGAACAGAACAGAATATAGGATGAGAGTTTATTTACTTATTAGATGTAGACACTGCCTTTCTTCCAGAAGTTTATCAACGTTAAGCCCATAATTGTTAGGCATAAGGAACCAAAAATGACACAATGAACTGATCGGAGCAGTATATTTATTGTTGCTCGCCTACAGACAGGAATCTTGCCAGACTAAAGCACAACACTGCATAACTACTAGATAAATACTGCAAAGTTTTAGGGAGGGTCTCCCTTCAGCCTCTTCCTTCTCACAAGGGAGTCAACTGTTTCATTTCCCGCCTCTTCTCAATGCCAGATTCCACCCCAACTTCACAAAGATGATTGCGCTAAGAGAGGGAGAGACTGTCCCAAAGTCATCCAGTTTCACCTTTCTCTATCACATGTTAGAATTGAAACTGACATGTCTTCTGGTCCCATTCAGCATAGTAACTGCTACAACAGAGTAATTTGAATTCTGCCTCACTCTACCTTACCATATAGGCCCTTGGATACTTTTATAGTGGTATGTTAAATTGTACTCTAAAAAGAGGATAGGACCTTTAGAAACAAACCATTCCTAACCATAAGGAGGTGAACATAATGAAATGGGTGGTGATGTCCACAATGCAAGGTCCACCTTTTTCTATTTGTGTTGCACATCCATCTATCTATCTATCTATCTATCTATCTATCTATCTATCTATCTATCTATCTATCTATCTATCATCTATCTATCTATCTAATCATCTAATCTCTCTCTTTATCAATTATCAAATCTACTTACCTATCTACCTACCTATCGTCTTATCTATCTATCTATCTATCTATCTATCTATCTATCTATCTATCTATCATCTAATCTCTCTCTATTATCAATTATCAAATCTACCTATCTACCATCTAATCTATCTATCTATCTATCTATCTATCTATCTATCTATCTATCTAATCTATCTATCTATCTATCTATCTATCATCAATCATCAAATCTACTTACCTACCTACCTATGTCTAATCTCTCTCTCTATCATCAATCATCAAATCTACCTATGTCTAATCTCTCTCTCATCAAATCTATTTACGTATCTATCTATCGTCTAATGATTACCTTTCTATTTCTCTATCATCAATCATCAAATCTATCTACCTGTCTCTCTCTCTCATCAAATCTATTTATCTATCGTCTAATGTTTATCTCTCTATTTCTCTATCATCAATCATCAAATCTATCTCTCTACCTCTGTCTGTCTGTCTGTCTGTCTGTCTGTCTGTCTGTCTGTCTGTCTGTCTATCTATCTATCTATCTATCTATCTATATCATCTATTCTCTTTCTATCATCAATTATCAAATCTACCTACCTATCTACTGTCTAATCAATCTATCAGTCTGTCTATCTATCTATCTATCTATCTATCTATCTATCTATCTATCTATCTATCATCAATCATCAAATTTACTTACCTACCTATGTCTAATCTCTCTCTCTCTATCATCAATCATCAAATTTACCTATGTCTAATCTCTCTCTCTCTCATCAAATCTACTTATCTATCATCTAATGATTACATCTCTATTTCTCTATCATCAATCATCAAATCTATCTACCTATGTCTAATCTCTCTCTCTCTCTCATCAAATCTATTTATCTATTGTCTAATGATTATCTCTCTATTTCTCTATCATCAATCATCAAATCTATCTCTCTACCTCTCTCTCTCTATCTATCTATCTGTCATCTATCTATCTATCTATCTATCTATCTATCTATCTATCTATCTATCTATCTATCTATCTGCCCCTGTGTGACTGCAAGAGTGGCAATAAAGGGAAATGACAAAAGACAGGCAATCTCCAGAACTTTATTTCATGGAATTATCCAGCCAGGATGACCATTTGTGACAATTCTGGAAGTTGAAATACGGAAGTGTTAGTCTAGACCAGTGCTTCCCAACCGTAGCCATTTTAAGACGTGTGGACTTCAAATCCCAGAATGACGATAGCAATAGCACTCGGTCTTGTATACTGCTCCATAGTGCCCTTGCTGCACTCTCTGGGTGGTTTATAATGTCAGTAAATTGCTCCCAATGATCTGGGGCCTCATTTTACCACCTCAAGAAGGGTGGAAGGCTGAGTCAACCTTGATCTGGTCAGGATCAAACTCTTGGCAGTGAGCAAAGTTAGCCTGCAGCACTGCATTCTAACCACTGCGCCACCACAGCTCTTATTTAATGACACATTTCTTATTTAATGGACACATTTCAACAATGCTGACTGGGATATACTGGAAATTGAAGTCCATACATCTTAAAATGGCCAAGGTTGGGAAACACTGTTCTAGAATGTTGTTGAAACACAGTAATTTTCTGTCTTCTTTCCTCAATCCCTGTGTTTGTCTGTCTGTGTATTTACTATATAAATATTAATATGATGATAGATGATATGAGTATGAGCATTATAGGTCTCAATGGACTCTCTCCTTACCTTGGACTGGAGTTTGATAAACAAAGCCATGGTCTCCTGCATTTGAAACTTCAGCCGTACCGCTGACATTTTCAAGCCTGCTGCAAAACGATCTGTCAGAACTATTATGCAGTGGGAAATTAATTGTTGCAAAGCCACAATGGCATTGAGGCCTTCGAATAACCGCCAAAGGGAATTCCTAATCAGGAAGAAAGTGAAGAAAATCAGGCTGTCATCCATAGTGGTAAACACCAGTAAATATTAGTTACTTTTTTTTAAAGAAATGTGTTTACTCAATTTATATAGCCACCTCTGTCACCACTATGCCACTCTGGGCAGCATTCAACACTCAAGTAAAACCACAATATAAAAACAATCATTATAAAAATATAGACAGCAAAATGGTTAGTAATTTAAAAATCATTACAAAAATAGAGTATGCAAACCATAAACAGAGAATTATAGTTATCACATATCTGCCATAAATAGAGAGCCAGTTTGGTCTAGTGCATGGGTGTGAAACTCAAGGCCAGGGGGCCAGATTCGGCCTGTTTGATGCTTAGATCCAGCCTGCGGGGCTGCCTTGGAATGAGTGAAGGATCGACCTGTGGTGCCTCTGCCAGAGAAAACAGGTTCCCAGGCTCCGTTTTTGGCTGCCTCCTGCAACCCTCTGCCAGCAAAAACTGAGCTCCATTTTCCTTGCCACAGTTGTTAAGTCAACTACTGCAGTTGTTACGTTAGTAACATGGGTTTTTTTTTCTTTTAATGACCCCATAATCCTTTGCATCGGGGTGGAGTTGGGGCAATTGAATGGAGCTGAGTGTTTATTGGCTCGATGCCATTCCTATCGCCAATGCAGAGTGCATTGTGCCCAGAGAGAGAAATATCTGCCTCTACCTAGGATCGAACTCACAGCCTCCTGATTGTGAGGCAAGAGCGCCACTTCTAGGCCACTGTACCACTCATATTAGTAACATGGTTGTTAAGTGAAATCTGGCTTTTCCTTGTAGAAGGTTGCAAAAGGGGATCATGTGATCCCGGGAAACTACAATCATCATAAATATGAACCAGTTTTCAAGCATCCAAATGTAAATCACATGATGATGAGGATGCTAAAAAGGCCATATGTGTGAAAAATGGTCATAAGTCACTTTTATCAGTGCCGTTGTAACTTCAAATAGTCACTAAATGAACTGTTGCAAGTCGAGGACTACCTGTACTGTTTAATTTACCTCATGATGCTTTTTGTATTTCTGACTATATTGTGTTTTTATTCTTTCTGGATGATGACAAATACTGCTATAAGTATGTATGTTAAATATATTTATGTGTATATAAAACTACAAGTTTGTATTAGTGGTTCTGGCTTCATCTGCACAGCTGCTGCATAATTCAATGACATTGTCAACTGACCAAAACACTTAATTGTGCAATCTAACCAATGTATAGTATATGTACTCTGAAGTAAATCCCATTGAGTTCAATGAGACCCACCCCAGCCAACACATGAATGATAGACTTTGTAAATTAGTCATAAAATATCTGTCCTCAGGTATTCATTTTGACACAAAACAATGTATTAAAGATGCATACGTCTGTAAATAAAGTAAAGGTAAAGGTTCCCCTCGCACATATGTGCTAGTTGTTTCTGACTCAACGGTGCTCATCTCCGTTTCAAAGTTGAAGAGCGAGCACTGTCCGAAGATGTCTCCATGGTCATGTGGCCGGTATGACTCAACACCAAAGGAGCACAGAACACTGTTACCTTCCCACCAAAGGTGGTCCCTATTTTTTTACTTGCATTTTTTACGTGCTTTCGAACTGCTAGGTTGGCAGAAGCTGGGAGAAAAGTAACGGGAGCTCACCCCATTACGCGGCACTAGGGATTCGAACCGCTGAAGTGCCAACTTTTCGATTGACAACCTCAGCGTCTTAGCTACTGAGCCACCACGTTCCTCTGTAAATAGGTCAAAGTAATTAGTACGATTCAAGAAAAAAATATTGAAATCTAATTCTTTCCCCCCTAACTTGTATCTATTCATAAGTCCACTGAATGAGCTTGTTCTGATTTTGCATTAAACCTACATTTTTATCTAAGGAAGGAATTTGTATTTGTAATACTGTTAAGGGTATTTGAATAAATACCTGCGCTAGAGATGAGAAGAATTTTTACTGATCTGTATTTAACAATAGGCGGGGCAATGTTAAAGAATGCTGAAATTATCAAACAATTGCACATCTTGTAAATGCTTATGAAATAATCCTCAGGGTTTTACAAAAAAAGACTTCATGGAATAAGAACTGTCAAGGATAAAAGCTGAATTCAGAAAAGGAAAGGATCATATTGCTTAGCATCTGATGGATAATAGAACAAGCAAGGGAAATTCAAAAAAATGTGCCTACTTTTGATTGATTATTTCAAGTCTTTTGGATGGATTACAACTAATTATGCCTGGTGTTTAAAAACATGGATATAGCAAGCCAGCTCAACAGCTTATTATACAATTTGGATGATGAGCAGGAAATGAATATTGAATCATAGTAATTAATTTGACCTATAGTTAGAAAGTAACAGTGGCAATGAGGGTACCATTGGAAGACCTGGAAAATCAAGTTAGAATAGATAGTTTTGGGGGAAAGTCTACCTATATAGTCACTAGGAGTCAGCCACGACTTCATGGCCCTTAATAATCAGATGATTTAAAATGGAAAAGGAATGTGTCAAAGTTGCCTACATTCACTTGCCTTCTGTAATATCTATATAGAACAATGTTTCTTAACCTCGTCCCCTTTAAGATGAGTGAACTTCAACTCCCAGAATTCCCCAGCCAGCTGGCTGGGGAATTCTGGAATTTGAAGTCCACTCATCTTAAAGAGGACAAGGTTGAGAAATTCTGATGTAGAACATATGAAAAACGACAAACTAGAAACTGGCATTAAAATTGCTGGGAGAAATGTCCACAAACTAAGGAATGGGGCTAAGGTTTTAGATTACAGATAGTCCTCGACCTATAACCATTCTTTTAGTGACTGTTTGAAGTTACAGCAGCACTAAAAACAACAATTTATGGCTGGTTTTCACGCTCACAACCATTGCAGCATTCTCATACTCACTTGATCAAAATTCAGGTGTTTGGCAACAGGCTCATATTTATGAGGGTTGCAATTTCCCTGGGTCATGTGGTCACCTTTTGCGGCCTTCTGGCAAACGAAGTCAACGGGGAAGCCAAATTTCACTTAACAATCCTGTCACTAATTTAACAATTTACAGTGATTCACTTAACAACCATGGCAGAAAAGGTCATAAAATGGGGCAAAAAAATTCACTTAATAACGGTCTTGCTTTCCAAAAGAAATGTTGGCTTAATTGTGGACATAAGTCAAGGACTACCTGTACATGTTGTCAAGGCCACGGTTCTCCCAATTGTGGCATAGAGGTGTAAGAGTTACATTATTAGAAAGAGTAAACAGAGACAGTGATGGATGTCTTTGAATTATGGTGCTAGAAAAGATTGTAAAGAATGCCTTGGACACCAAGAAGAACAAATCATTCAGTGCCAGACAAAGTAAAACCGGATGACAGTAGTAATAAAGCTAAAGTTTAAATACTTTGGACCCGTATTGTGAAGGCAAGGAGTTATTGGAAAAGATCTTGATATAAACTGAAAGCAATAGAAAAAGATGCCAAAAGATGGCTGCCTTGAGCCCAAATGTGATTTTTCAGGATGCTCGTAATATAAGCCATACCACCCAAAATAAGCCTCAGTTAAGATCGTCAGCCAGACAGATGCATTTATCATATTTCCCTGAAAATAAGCCCTAATTCAGGGGTGTCAAACTCAAGGCCGGCGGGCCGGATCCAGCCCATGGGGTGCTTAGCTCTGGCCTGTGGAAACAGTGAAGGACCGGCCTGCAGTGCCTCTGCCAGTGAAAATGGTGTGGCCAGCTTGACATCACTCATGTCAGGGGCACCTGTGGTGGCCCAAGCACTCTGCCATGAAAATGGGCTCCTGAGCGCCATTTTCGCTGGCAGAGGGTTGCTGGAGGCCGTCCCAACTGAAAACAGAGCTCAGGAACCCATTTTCGCTGGCAGAGTGCTTGGGCCACCACAGGCGCCTCAGATACGAGTGACATCAAGCTGGCCACACCAACCCTGGCCCCCCCAAGTTCAAACACAACCCTGATGCGACCCTCAATGAAATCAAGTTTGACACCTCTGCCCTAATGCGTCTTTTGGAGTGAAAATTAATATAAGACCCTGTCTTATTTTCGGGGAAATATGGTATCACTGATGTCTCAAGCAGGACTTTCAAGAACTCCAAAAAGCAGTTGCTGCCTGAACCCTGAATTCTGTTGTGTCCAAGGGTGTCAATATGGGATACACATTAAAAAGAGGTGGGCTTTGATTGAGAGAAAGTTTGGTCTAGTGGTTAAGGCACCAGCCTAGAAAGCAAGAGACTGTGAGTTCTAGTCCCACCTTAGGCATGAAAGCTGACCGGGTGACTTTGGGCCAATCACCAGGGACTGAGGGTTCTAGTCTCACCTTAAGCATGAAAGCCAACTGGGTGACCTTGGGCCAGTTCCTCTCTCTCTCAGCCCAACCCACCTCACAGGGTTACTGTTGCGGAGAAAATAGGAGGAAAAAGGTGTGTGTTGGATATGTTAATTAGAATAGAATAGAATAGAATAGAATAGAATAGAATAGAATAGAATAGAATAGAATAGAATAGAATAGAATAACAGAGTTGGATGGGACCTTGGAGGTCTTCTAATCCAACCCCCTACTTAGGCAGAAAACCCTACAACATTTCAGACAAATGGTTATCCAACATCTTCTTAAAAACTTCCAGTGTTGGAGCATTCACAACTTCTAGAGGCAAGTTGTTCCATTGGTTAATTGTTCTGTCAGGAAATTTCTCCTTAGTTCTAGGTTGCTTCTCTCCTTGATAAGTTTCCATTCATTGCTTCTTGTCCTACCCTCAGGTGCTTTGGAGAATAGCTTGACTCCCTCTTCTTTGTGGCAGCCCCTGAGATATTGGAACAATGCTATCATGTCTCCTCTAGTCCTTCTTTTCATTAAACTAGACATACCCAGTTCCTGCAACCGTTCTTCAGATGTTTTAGCCTCCTAATCATCTTTGTTGCTCTTCTCTGCACTCTTTCTAGTCTCCACATCTTTTTTACATCGTGGCAACCAAA